GGCTTGGTGCCTGTAGCTCAGTGGCTAGGATGCTGGCCACACATACCAGGGCTGGTGGGTTTGAACCCAGCCTGGGTCTGCCAAACAACAATGACAACTACAAAAAAATATATATATAGCCAAGCATTATGGCAGGCACCTCTAGTCCCAGCTACTCACAAGGCTGAGGCAAGAGAATCACTTAAGCTCAAGAGTTTGAGGTTGCTGTGAGCTATGACGCATGGCACTCTACCAAGGGCACATAGTGAGACTCTGTCTCAAAAAGAAAAAAAAAATTGCTGAGAAAACTGAAGCCTTCAGAGAAGAGAATTACAACAGAGAGTATATCCATGCTGGGACCTAACTCAGGAGAGTAAGACCAGGCCAAGCAAGGAAAGGGGCGTGTCTGCCCCTCCATTGGCGTGTTTGCTGTAGAGGGCAACCTGTGGGCTCACAGCCTTTCTGCTGTCCTTCCCACCTGCTGACACAGAGGCAGAGACTCAGGCACCCACAGGCCTCATTTTCTCCTTCCCTGGAAAGATAGGTGAGTGAGGCCAACAGGGCCCAGGCTCCAGCCATCAGAACAGCCAGTAAAGGGGAGAGGTGGAGAGAAAGGAAAGGGTGAGGCCCTGGTGTGATGGTCCTGGGCAGGAAAGATAAGTGGATTTGAGGGTGTGCCTGGCTTTCTTTGGAGTGTGAGGCTGAAGAGATGGCACAGATGGAGCTTGGAAAACTCGCAATCTGCTTGCAGTTTCTAAAGGAGATCTAGTGTTTACAGAAAATTTTCTGGCTGAGCTCCTCTGCTATAAAGCCAGGATTCCTTTTTCACACCTTAGTGATGGCCGCTGCTAACTCTCCCCTCCCTGTGGATGTTGGTGCTGACATTGCACACCCCACTGAACTTTTGAAAGGTACTTGCATCTTCATAAACGACTATAGCCACAGCTTTCTGTTTTCTCAACTCCCTTCCTGACATTTTTACAACACACTAAACACACTCCTAGGAGCTTGGTTAGAATTGCCCAGAATTCTCTGGTGTCAGCAACGGGCCACAAGGCTGGGAGATGGGCACTCTGTTTGCAGAGAAGGGTGGGTCAGGAGAAGGCAGAGCACAGTTCCGTCTTCCCCTCACATCCCCAATTTAATCATAAGTGTTTGTACCACATTTCTTCTGGGAACAGATTTTACTGTGGAATTTACATCTCTGACTCTGAAGGCTGAAGTGACTGCGTTAGTGTTTGGTGAGCCTCTTAGCAACCAGGGAGGTCTACTGATCAGGGAAGGCCAGCCTGACAGATTTATATCCTCAGGTTTCACACTGTTGCCTATAGCATACGGTACGGTCAAGACCCTACAAGTAATTGCATCATCTCCCATTAACGGCCTCTAGGAATGAATGATTCACCCGACATATTAGCTGGGCCAGGAGGAGGGTGGGATTCTTGTTAACCAGATCCCCCTTGTCTGCATTTGACCTTCCAGGCATGGGTTCAGCCGTTTCTCTCCTGGGCAGATTCCATTCAGTACGTGGACAAAAAGAGGTCCCTCCCCTCCCAGAACCTACTAATCAAACTCTCTTTGTGAGGTGCTACTACCCCTGCAAGGGTTAGGCTTAAAGATCACCCATGCCAGAGGGAACTGCAAACATTAGTGAAGTTAGAGATGGGGTGTTTTATGGATTGGGGAGGAGATAGCCGCTGGAGCTGGGCGATGTGAAAGAGAGGGAAATAACAAAAAATAAATGCAGCGGGCCCTCCATACCCCAGAGTTCTGCGGCCTCAGCCTCACCTAACCACAGATTGAAAATACTCAGAAAGGCTCAGCGCCTATAGCTCAACCGGCTAAGGCGCCAGCCACATACACCTAAGGTGGCGGGTTCGAATCCCCAGCCCGGACCCGCCAAACAACAATGACGGCTGCAACCAAGAAATGGCCGGGCGTTGTGGCGGGCGCCTGTAGTCCCAGCTACTTGGGAGGCAGAGGCAGGAGACTCGCTTGAGCCCAGGAGTTGGAGGTTGCTGTGAGCTGTAATGCCACGGCACTCTACCCAGGGGGGCAGCTTGAGGCTCTGTCTCAAAAAAAAAAAAAAAAAAAAAAAGAAAATACTCAGAAAAAAAATTAAAAATGATACAAATGTAAAACTATGGTGTAACAACTACCTACATTGCATTTACATTGTATTAGGTATCGTAAGGAAGCCAGAGGTGATTTAGAGTGTTTGGGAGGATGTGCTTAGGTTCTACGCAGGCACTCCACCAATTTATTTAAGGGACTTGAGTGTCTGAGGACTTTGGCGTCCATGAGGACCCTGAAACCAATCCCCGCAGACACCAGGGAACGACTGTAAATAAATACAGCATAAAATGTCAGGGAATGACGCACGCAATGAAGAGGAAGGGTGTGGGCACGATGAGTTGTGGGGGGCACTTGGGCTCTACTTTACTGGGGGTGGCCAAGGAAGGCCTCCCTGAGGAGGTGACCACTGAGCAAACTTGGGTGTGTGGAGAGTACAGGGAAGCTACTGGAATATTTGGAGAAGAAGAAAAAGCAGTTCTCAGCACAGATGGGTTGCCCGCTGCCCCTTTTGTGCTTCCCTTCTAGGGGAGACTAGACTCAGTGCTGGGCTCACAGGTGCGCAGAGGGTTGACAGGCAGTTAAGGACAGGGTTGAGGGAGGCGGGCATGGCCCGATGGTCCCTTAACAGCCTCATCCTTCTTTCTTCCTTCTCCCTGTCTCCGCCCTTCCCTCCTCTCTTTCCTTCTGCACATTTTGACCCAATCCACCAGGTTACAGTTTGGGAGGGTGAGTTGCCCCAGACTTTCTCATCTCCCATCCACTGTAAGGTTGTGTGGACTCTCTGTCTCCTGCTGCTCCCTGACCCCCATGGAACTCTGCATCCTTGACTTGTGGGCAGGACTCTCAGAGCCATGGTGTCATGACACCCTTTCCTGGTGTTATCATTGGCTCCATCCAGGGGACCTGGCCTCTCATCAATGGGCATGAGCAGTTCCCAGGTCCTGGGATTTTGTTCCAGTTTATCTCTTCAACAGCTCAGGGAGCCAGTCATACAACTGTTGAACTGCTATAGGTTCTGGGTATGGAGGAGAGTGCAGGGGGCATTGACATAGACATGGAGCAACTTTCCCTGCTGTCAAGTCGATTTCCAGGGGTGGGATGATTACTCTGTAACACTGGCTGAGACAGGTGCTATAAACAAGAAAGTAGCACACATGTGCTTTGGCCACGTTGGGGAGAGAGACATTATTTTCAGGAAGTTGTCATGGAGAAGTCACACTTGAATTGGGCATTGAAAACTTGGAGATCTTCTGGGGGGATGGGGTAGCTTGGCCAGGAATGGGCCTCCTACCAGAGGATGCCATCCAGAGAAGTGTGGGCCAGCATTGTGCACTGGCTTTTTCTGATGTTTGATGCCATGTTTTGAAAAATAGCAAGAACAGAAGTGTGCTCTGATTATGATTAGGGAACAAGACTAGCCCTCAGAAATCAACGAGCTGTGCCTCATTCAGCACTCACCCGGGTGGGCTGTCAGAACAGAGAGAAAGTAGAGCTTCGTGGGGGCCTCATGGATCATCCTGGGCAGTTGATTTTCTTGAGGTCACAGGCTCCTTTGAGAACCTATAAAATCTATCAACTCAGAAGAAATGCATGTCTGTACATACATACTAAATTGGTCTTTGATTGAGACATAAATCACGTGCCATAAAGCTCTCCATTTTTTTTTGTTTATAATTAAAGATGGTCTTGTTTTATGTAACATCAAAAATTCGCCATTTTAAAATGTACTATTCAGTGGTTTTTCGTATATTCACACGGTTGTCAACCATCATCGCTATCCAATTCCAGAACATTTTCATTATTCTAGAAAAAAAGAAGTCTTACCCTTTAGTTGTCATTCCCCAGTCTCCTCTCTCCCTAGCCCCTGGCAACTAGTAATCTACTTGTTTGTATGGATTTGTCTATGCTGGATACATTTTATGTAGCCTTCTCTCATTTAACCTAATGTTTTCAAGGTTTATTTGTTTTGTAAAATGTATCAGGACTGCATTTGCTTTTATGAATAATATTCCTGAGTAACAGTCCATCGTATGGATAGAGCACATTTTGTTCATCCATTTATCGGTTGATGCGTGTTTGAGTTCTCCCCACTTTTTTATTATTTTGAATAATGCTGCTTTGAACATCCATGTACGAATATGCACTCTAAAATTTGCAGACCATTTCGGGAGGTTCACAGGACCCTGGAAACCCATCTCTTGATCTAGAAAACTTTGTTTTATAAAAGAGAGAAATTCAAGAGGGCACAGAGAAGGCAGAAATGCTAGTGACGATTTATTATTATATGTTGAGTGGCACTGAGTTAAGTGCTTTATATACCCACAATCATTTCACCCTTAGCAACCCCATGACATGATATTATTATCCCCATATCACAGATGAAAAAGCAGAGGCTCAGAGAAGCCATGCCAGGCTTCTTGGAGAGATTTAAGCTGAGCTTTGACTGCCAGGCTGTGAAAGGCAAACACATCCAGTCTCCTCTTGACCTTCAAATCAAAAATCAAAATCAAAGCCCCTATTTCCTTTATTTTTTAATGGTGTATTAATGCCCTGTCTGCCAACAAGGCACATATCTTGCTAATTCCAGAACTACCCCAGTGCACAGGGGACATCCTAGACTGCTTTAAAATCACCCTCTCCCCGGAGTAGCCAAAACCCCTGCCTCCTGCTCTTCCCCTTCAGGAGAGGCCAAGCCTCTAACCACGCCTGTATGTGTGTCTGGCTGTGGTAATAATAGCTCAGGGGCACCCAGGGCATCTCTTGAACAGCTGAGACGTCTGTAACTGTTGCCCCACTCTGACACTCCCACTGCATGCCCTGCCTGGTGGGGGAGGTATCAGGATCAGGCCAAGGACGGCAGGCATGTGGACGAGGATTCTGTGGGGAAGGCGGTGGCTACTGTCTGAAGCTGCCCTGCATCAGCTACCCCATTCTTTGTCTCCCAGCCAGTGGACAACCAGCAAGCCATGGTGCGCAGGGAGTCCGTGGTCAATCTGGAGAACTTTAAGAAGCAATATGTCCGCAGGCGGTGGAAGGTGTGTCCCGGTTTGGGGTGGGGGCAGGGGGCCCAGGTGGGGTTCTGGGCCATCTCCAGGGTCTCTGTGCAGGCTCTCACCTGCTCCTTTCCTCTGCCCCCAGCTCTCCTTCAGCATTGTCTCCTTGTGCAACCACCTCACCCGCTCGCTGATGAAGAAGGTGCACCTGAGACCAGATGAGGACTTGGTAGGTAAATGCAGTGCCCTCTCCCTGGGCAGAATTCTGGGATGGCCTGGAGCTCAGGGGATGGGGACCACTCCCTTTTTCCCCAAGGTAGGTGGGTGCCAGCTATTTCTAGCCAGTTCTGCTGGCCCTATCCTCTTTCCTGAAGGCTGAAGTTTGATCATCAGAAGAATGTGTGTTCAGGGGACTTCTGGGTGCCTGGAAGGGGAGCTCTGATGGGACAGCATAGGCTTCTAGAGATTTCGGACCCTCTCCAGGTGGGCCTTTAGAGGGACTGCTGCTCCCACCCCACCCCACCCCTCCAGCCTCTTCCTGAGGATGGGTAGCCCACCAGAACCCTGTGGACTCTGAAGAATGAGTGCCATAGACGACCCAAAATTTATTTATCATGATCTAAAACTCTGGTTTAGAATGGGAGTTTTAACATACTTATTTCAATTTTTCCATTTCTGTTTTGCTTTCAATTACCATTATAAAGAATATTTAGATGATATATTCTGTTACTTTCTGGCAATTTTATGTGCATTTAAAATGAGATGCATATGACAGAATATACTTGAGAAGAGTGTGGCCTCTGGAGCCACTGCTAAGATTTGAATCTGCCACTTACTAGCTGTGTGACCTGGAGGAAATTATTTAACCTCTCTGTGCTAAAATTTTATTATTTGTAAAATACAGTTCATAAGAGTTCCTGAGGATTAAATGATGACATATGCTTAAAGCCTGGCATATCAGTACTCAATAAGTAGTCTCAAGTGTTTTTGTTTTTAAATCCTCCTATGAACTTTCTTGTGTTTTTGAGTCAGAGTCTCTCTCTGACACCCTGGGTCCCATCACTCTACTCTTGGGTAGAGTGCTAAGGTAGCACAGCTTACAGCAACCTCAAATCCCTGGGCTCAAGCAATCCTCTTGCCTCGGCCTCCCTAGTAACTGGGATTATAGGCACAGGTCACAATGCCTGGCTAATTTTTCTATTTTTAGTAGAGATAGGATCTTCCTGTTGCTCAAGCTGTTCTCAAACTCCTGAGCTCAGGAAATCTACCCTCCTTGGCCTCTCAGAGTGCTAGGATGACAGGTGTGAGACATCACACCTGACCTGAACTTCATTTTTTATTTTTTTAAATTTCAGAATATTAGGGGGGACATACCTTTGGTTTATATACTTTGTTTTTGTACAGATTGAGTCAAAGTTAGAAGTGTGCCCTCCACCCAGATAGTGTGCACTGTACCCCCCCAGGTGTGAATTTACCCTTCCCCAGCTTGATTTTCATTGAGATTTACTTCCATATGTGCACTCAAGTGTTGATTGATTAGTTCCATTTGGTATCAAGTACATGTGTTTGTTTCTCCATTCTTGTGATGTTTCACTAAGAATGTTTCCAGTCCCATCCAGGTTGTCACAGAAGATATTAGATGACCATTTTTTACAACCTCCTGTAAACCTTAAAGAGTATGCCAGTGTTAGTATCTCCATTGCTAGGGGTTCCCTAGACAGCCCCTCTCCTGCTCAGGGTGTGTGATGCAGGCCCAGGAATGTCTGGGATGGCACTGGTCAGGATGGAAGGTGACTCCCTGCTGAGGAAGGGACTGGAAGGCAGCTGCCTGAGTTGGATGCACAGTTAGTCCCGAGCAACCCTCTCAGGGTGCACAGCACTCAGAACTTGAGGATTTATGATTCCAGAGGCCTGAAATAGCTGTGCAGCTTTGGTCAAGCCCTGTGCATTCTCTGGTCACTTTCCTCCTCTGTTGTAAAAGGGACTGGAACTCTCTCCCTCTGAGAAGCCCTGATTATGACAGGTGGAATTTGCTTAGCTTCCTTTTTTACTGTTTGGCTCTGACTCATATTAAAAGTTGCTATTCAGCAGAGCTCGAATTATTTTTATTGTTCCAGCCAGGCTCGGTCTGGGATATATTTGGCTAAAGTTGATCTTGACCTTGGATTTCTAGCTGGCTCATGCCAAGGGAAAGAGAGAAGGCCCTGGGAGAACAAATGGCAGGCAGTGGGTACACCTCTCAGGCTGAGCCCCTGGCCGGGTTCCCCCGACAGAATGTAGTCAGTGGGGAGGGAGGACCAGAGAGTAATTGATGAAAGAATTTCTTTCCTAACTTTTGTCCTTGAGCAAACATTTTTAAACAGTCCTCTTTTTACTCAAATATTCAGTAAGTACCATCAGCTCTAAAAGTGGGAAAGGGTTGGGTCCCAGACATCTGTTATGCAGTTTTCCCCGTGGGACTTTCCTTTTGAAAAAGAGCAATGCTAGGTCCTTTTGTTTAGGAAACATTGGACTGAACATCTGACAACAGATCTGTTTATGTGTGAGGGAGGCTCTCGCTCTGTCTCTCAGGCTGGAATGCAGAGAGTGATCATAGCTCACTGCAGCCTGGACTCAAGGAAACCTCCTGCTTCAGCCTCCCAAGTACATAGGACTATAAACACATGATACTACACCCAACTAATTTTTTAATTTCTTGTAGAGATGGGGTCTTGCTATATTGCCCAGGATGGAACAGACTTTTTTACTTATGACTTATTTAAGTCTTTCTGAATTAGTACATTTTTAAATAATCTTAGCAACTTAATTAGATCAGTATGCCCTGAATGAAAAGGCATTATGACCTCCAGATGACTGCTCAGCTCTGGTTTAGCCAGATGTAGCAAATGATGGAATGCACTGTATAATCTCTTCCTTTCATAAAAATGGAACTCAGAAGTTATTTCCCTGGAAACACTGCTCAGAAAATCTTGCTAAAGATGCGATCCAAGCCCATCAGAGAAGAAGGGGTGTGGCGTGGTGGCTGTCAAGAGCCCGGGGAGGAACCTGTGCCTCATCCCTCCCATTCTCTCTAGGCTGAGCTCAGGGTACCTGTCAGCCCCCAGACCACCTATCCCAGTGGTCTTAAATTATGTGGCAGCCACAAAGAACACCAGATATAATTTTCATGGTGACAATCTGGCCTGCCCTGATGCTTTGTTTCCCTACCCTACCTGCTTCTAGGCAGTTGTTCTGTCCTAAGGCAGCCTCTCTTTCCCTACCACTGGTCTCTGGATGGAGCAACATCCAACCTCCCCGGCTTGCAGGTTCCTGGCCTAAGTATACGCATATTAACCCGTATTGCCCAGCATAACCCCATTTCTGGCAACTCATGACCTCCTGTCCTGGGCCCCTCTTATTTTCTCCCCACAGAGGAATTGCGAGAGTGACACGGAGGAGGACATCGCCAAGAGGAAAGCTCTCCACCCCCGGAGGAGGAGCAGCACCTCCTAACTGGCTGTCAGGGAGGCCCATGCCCGGCAGGGCTCCTTCTGTGCAGACTCGGACCCAGCTCATCACCAGCACCCCATGTGATCTGCATCCCTGAATACTTTGCATGAGAGACGGGCCTGCAGAATTCAGGGGGACTTGTAAGGGGGCCAGGAGGCCCTGGGGGCTGTGGCTGCCTGCGGTGCAGGAGGCGCCAGCATCCCCAAAGTTCGTAATTCTCTGCAGAACAGGCTTTCATCCAGCTGCGACCTCAGAACCTGGGATGGGGATGGTACTTAGGGAAACAACGTAAAGAAGCATCATCAGGGGCTTAAGGGCCAGCTTGGCAGCTTTCCTCACAGTGAGGGAGTTCAGAACCAGCTTGGTCACAGATTACACCAGAAGACAGATGCCTTCCCCATGGGAACAGGGCATGTGAGTAAAGTGAATCTTGGGTGTGAGGGACCAGTCATGTGACCTCCCAGAACCCACAGGAGTCAGGACATCAAGCTGACCAACAAGTCTCACCATTGCCAGCCCACTGTGTTGTAATTTTTTTCATTTTTATTAAACTTCCAGTTTTCGTGATGCTTGGCTTTTTTTAGGGCTATCGCCTTCAGATTTCCTTTAGCTCAGGTGCCTCCAACTGTGGGAACTTCCAGATTGAGGTGCTGAGTGGACAGGTGCTGAGAAGGGCCTATTGAACCATCTCCTCTGGCCTGGCCTGTTGGAGCCCTGCCTGCCTTCTATGCGCTTCCCCGGGAGGAAGGTGTCTAGCACAAGAAAATCTGCCCAGAGACTGGCATGGAATGCCAGTGCTCCCTCTGCCACCACTGCCATCACTCCTGTGTCAGGGGCTCAGCTGGGTCGCCCCCAAGTTCATATGTTGAAGTCCTAATCCTCAGTATCAGAATTTCATATGCTTGGACATAGGGTCTTTAGAGAGGTAATTAAAATGAGCTCACTGGGGTGGGCCCTGACCCAATATGACTGGTGCCTTACACGAAAGAGAGGTTAGGACACAGGGAAAAGACCATGTGAAGACACGGGAATGTGGCCATCTACAAGCTAAGGAGAGAGGCCTTAGAAAAAAACCAATCCTGCTGACACCTCAACTTCTGGCCTCCAGAGTTGTAAGAAAATAAATTTCTGTTTGAGCTACCCAGTCTGTGGTGCTTTGTTACAGCGGCCCTAGCAGACTATACACCTGCCAACTACAGCCACGGTAGGGGCAAAGAAGGATCCACTGGGGAAAAGCAGAGGAAGAGGAGATGGATTATCTGGACCCTTGAGTAAAAATAGCAAGGGAACCTCAATGTCATAGAAATCTGGGCCCAGGCTCCATGCCTGTGGCTCAAGTGGCTAAGGCGCCAGCCACGTACACCCAAGGTGGTGGGTTCAAATCCAGCCCGGGCCCCCAAACAACAATGACGGCTGCAACTCCCCCCCAAAAATAGCCGGGTGTTGTGGCGGGCGCCTGTGGTTCCAGTTACTTGGGAGGCGGAGGCAGGAGACTTGCTTGAGCCCAGGAGTTGGAGGTTGCTGTGAGCTGTGATGCCATAGCACTCTACCCAGGGGGACAGCTTGGGGCTCTGTCTCAAAAAAAAAGAAAAAAGAAATCTGGGCCCTGCTTTTCCAGGCAAAAGAATGGTGTTGCTGACCACTGGAGTCAGTGTGAGGCCTGGAGACTGGGAAAGCACGTGGGAAGAGGTGGGGAGAAAGGGAAAGAAGCTTCGGAAAGTAGATGAGAGAACTGAGCTGAGTAAGTGAGTCAAGAAGGAGGGGAGCAGAATAAAAAGGGTAGAAATGAAAGGGCCCTGGAAAAAGGGAGCACCCCTTCCCCTTGTCAGCAGCTAGTTGATGAATCCAGAACACAAAGGCGATTTAATTTCAGAAAAGCTTCCGGCCAGAAATGGAGTGGGCCTGCAAGCTTGTTGCAGAAAATTCTGCAGTCGACATGCACTTTCTTGGGTTTCCTCAGTCCTCAAGCAGGATCAGCGCTGTACCTCAGTGTGGGAAGATCACCGAGGCTGAATGTAGACCTCCTTCAGGGCCCCTGGGCTGGTGAAGGGCTCTTGGCTGTGACTAGTCACAGGATTCAGCAGGGAATGTCCTGGAACAGAAAGGTCCTAGGAAGTCAAGTGTGCTGAGGGAGGGGGCTGCCCTCCTCAGGGGCTTTGACAAAACCAGTCTTGAGTTTCTTTTCTCTTTTGTAGAGACGGGGTCTCACTCTGGCTCAGGCTGATCTCAAACCTCTGGGCTCAGGGCGATCCACCAGCCTCGGCCTCCCATGCTAGGATTATCGGCGTGAGCCACCAGGCCTGGCCCAGTCTTGAGTTTCTGATCGTGATCGTAGGGTTGGCCTTTGTAACTTGTCTAGTCCAACCATGACATTTCACTGAAGAGGAAACGGAAGCCCAGAGAGGAAGTGACTCGTTCTGCTTCACGCAGCAAATTTGTGAAAATATCTGATGAAAGCCCGGACTTCCTGACTCCTAGCACAGTGCTCATTTCTTCAGCTGGATAAACTGTGGTGGGGCTCTCAGGCAATGTGGATTGTTGGCTTTGCCTCATTTTTAACAAGCTCTCATCTCTCCTTTAGAGTTGGCTGCCATGTCGTTCATTCTTGGAAATGAGAGAAATTGTCACACTTGCTCTGCCCATCTTTTCACAGTAAGGGACACTGCCTCTGAGTGGGGACACTGCAGCAGGGAACTACAAGGCAAGAAGAGAACTAGTAGTTCTTGGGCTTCCCATATGTACTTGGCGCTATTCTAGATGCTGGGGTTAGAATAGACAACAGGACAGACACAGTGGTTCCTATCCAAAAGGGGACTACGTTCCCTGAGCCCTGGGAATGCAGGACTCTGTTGTGCCCACAGACTGCTTCCCCTCGCCTTCTTCTCATCCAGGTTATATGTGCATAGAGCCCAGCTGACTGAGTCCCCTTAACCAGCTTTCTGGTATTGAATGGCACCTGCTGGGTTTCCTAGAATCCCTTAGGAAGCCCAGAGCCGCGCAGTGGGCCAAGGGGGCCTTTCAGGATACACATCTTTTGAGGCCCAGCAGCCAGAGCCACATGCCCAGGCCACTCCCAAACAGGGCTCAGGTTACGTGGCCTCTCTGCTAGTAGGTGGCTGCCTCCCCCAGGTATGAGGATGAGTCAAGCAGCAGTTACCCAGGGCAACCAAGTGTGACCTGTTGGCTCTGAACAAGGATGTGTCCACCAGCTGACACTTCAAGGCTCTGGGGCAAATGGAGCACTTCCAGCGATGAAAGCCATGCTCAGTTAAAATTCAGTTCTTTAAAGAGCCCTGAGGGTGCCCTGCCCCACTGTATTTGCCTGTGTGTTTGCAAGATGCTGCATTAATATTTCACAAATATCCATATAAATATTTTAGTGCACTGCATTTTAATGTCAATCTCACCAGCTTTCCTGACTCCAGATCTTAGATTGCATTTGCCTTTTCCACTTGCATATTTATTTGCTGAAAACCTTATTTTGAAAGCAAATGAAGGCCTTACCATAAGAAGTGAACCATGAAATCTCTACAAAAGAAAAGTCAGGCCCTGTACTCCATAGACAAAGCACGTAAGTACATGTGAAAGAGCTAACTTGAGGACTCATCTATCACAAGGAATTTTATCTGGCACAGACTTGTAGAACTGTTCTTTCCATCTGGGCCCCAGCTTGATGTCATCCTGACATTGTTCTGTTCACTGTTGCTGCACCCCAAAGAATAGTATCTTCTTTGGTGGTCTGCTAAGAGGATCCCATTCAGTTGAAGATCTGTGAACAAAGATTAAGTGACATTGAAAAAAGCAGTGGTGGGAAGGAGGAGACAGGAGGAGGGAGGGGGATTGATATGCTCCCATCTAATGGGCGCCATGTAGGTGCATATGGCACCACTCCTGGGGGCTGGACACAACTACAACAGGGACTTTGACTAAGGAATGCAAGCATCATAACCTAATTGTTTATACCCTCATATTAATCTGAATTTTAAAAATTTAAAAAAATTAAAAAGCAGGCTGCAGGAGCAGTGGCTCATGCTTGTAATCCTAGCACTCTGGGAGGCCAGGCGGGTGCATAGCTCGAGCTCACAGGTTCGAGACCAGCCTGAGCAAAAAGCAAGACCTGTCTCTACTAAAAGTACAAAACTGAGGCAAGAGTATCACTTGAGCCAGAGTTGGAGGTTGCTGTGAGCTGTGACGCCACAGCACTCTACCCAGGGTGATAGCTTGAGATTCTGTCTCAAAAATTAAAATTAAAATTAAAAAAGTAGAGCTGACTGGGTGGGGCAGCTCACGCCTGTCGGTAATTCTCGAACTCTAGGAGGCTGAGGCAGATGGATTGCTTGAGCTCAGGGTTGGAAAGCGGTCTGAGCAAGAGTGAGACCCCATCTCTACTAAAAATAGAAAAACTAGCCAGGCATTGTGTCAGGCACCTGTAGTCTCAGCTACTCAGGTGTCTGAAGCGAGAGGATTGCTCAAATCCAAGAGTTTGAGGTTGCTGTGAGCTGTGATGATGCTATAGCACTCTACCCAGGGTAACAGAGTGAGATTCTGTCTCAAAAAAAGAGAAAAAAAAAAAAAGGAAAAAAAATTAAGTAATTAGGGTGGTGCCTATGGCTCAAAAGGGTAGGGTGCCGGTCCCATACGCCAGAGGTGGTGGGTTCAAACCCAGCCCCGGCCAAAAAAAAGTAAATAATAATAAATATAAATAAATACAAAACGAAAAAGCAAAGCCCCTGTTAATAGTTTCTCCCTGTTTTCCCCTTTCTCCCACCTGTTCTTTTTTCTCTCTGCCTCCACCGACTCATAATTTATATCTGAAGTGTATATTTTAGTAATTATTTATTGAATAAAATTCATGCTCCCAGTTCTTAATCTAAAAAAGCTTAAAATTTTTAAAATAATAAAAATAAATAAAATAAAACAACAACAACAAAAGTTGATTATTTTTACCCTCTGGATCAGTGATCTTCCACCCCAGAGCTAGAGGAAAAGTGAAACAAACAAACAAAAAAAAGCAGCTCACAGTAATTTTTAAAAATCTCTCTGGAACAGAAACGTTTTGCGTACATGTAGTCCTCTTCCTAATCTTGTAAGCCCCATTTATACTGTTGATGAAGCTGAGCAGTGGAGTTAAGAAATTTGCATGCAATCAACAGCTGGAGTACTTGGGATCTGGATTCCAGCCCAGTTTTGCCCTCCCACCCCAAATCCATATTCTTCTCTACTTTTCTTGGAGAAGCACAGTGCTGAAGAAAAAAATAATCCCAGAGAACGATAGTATGATGCTGTGTTTAAAGCTCAAAAACCATACCACAAAAAAACAAAACAAAACTATACCACAAGTTGTTTAGGGATACATGTGAGTGTGATACAATTGGCTTTTAAAGGCAAGAGACTGGCTACACTCAAAAATTCAGGATGAAGCTTGTGTCTGTGCCACTGAGATGAAGAAGAGGGTGGGGTAGCAGTTACCACTATGGCCTCTACTGGGGACAGGCCATGGCAGCTGCACATGACCATCCCTGAGTGTGCTTCTCCTCTTGTGCTTTGTTGGTAGGGTTTTCTTTATG